CACTTGAATTATATACCCTTTAACTAGCAAGTTATTCAAGATCTCCCGTTTTCAAAGCAATTATGTGCATGGAATGTATCAGATATACTACGTGACTAATGTCTTCTGTAAGATATTAGTATCATTACCACTATAAAGTCCATCAGATTGAACATTCCTGTAAGTGCTACATAGGAAAGTGTTTTTATCAGTTTAAAATATTCTTGTATCATGTAAGTATTTCTGCATGGAACTCTTCCCAAAACAGTCTAGCAATCAGTAAGCTTGCAGAACACATTAAAAGCCTTGGATTCCCATCTTCAGTTCTGTCAACTTAGAAAGTCCTCTTTACTCAGTGACTTGGAGCAAAGCTCTTTAACAAGTTATTTTAAGCTTTTTGGGTATAATAACAAAAGTAACTTCGCTGACTAGAAGACAAGTAACTGCTTGCTGAATACCACTTATAAAAGAAATACCACGTTTCTGTCATGTGCAAGATTTAAATAAAGCTCAGCTTCCACCCTTGCAAATATTGCCATTTAAGTGGGACACAATCTGAAGTTGGATTTTTTTCTGAAAAATATAATGCCTTCTTGAAAACTATGAGTCTGACTCATTAACCTAATGCTAACCTTCAAGAGATGTATTAATTGATGAAAAACTATGTTAAGATCTATCAACTTCACATTACATGCAAACACCTACATAAAAGAAAAAAATGTGGGAATTTACCACTTTATTTAGCCCACAAGATAACTCTATTTGTGCAGAATTATTCCAGCACACTAAAACTGAAAAAGGAAACAAAAAACTTTCAAGAATCAGCTTTAACATTGGTCCCTGGGCTACACACACAAGTGTTAAGGTTTGTGCGTACATATGAGTAAAATTAGAAGGTTTACAACTCATTAGTATCTTCAGGAGGTATACTTTTTAAAAATGGAACTCAAGAGATACTTCCGTAAGACTTAAGCTATCCGCAAACACGCTTCGGTTGTGAAGAGGCTGGTAAAACCAAAGATTTAAAGGGGATCATTTAGAAGCAAACAAAATAGGTCCTTTCAAGATAAGCATTAAAAGAACATATTAAGCTATACATTAGTGCAAAAATTTCCATTATATTGGTGAACCGACATCTGTAAGATGGCGTTTATTTCCTTTTTATTGAGTGTAGTTACAGCTGTTCTTTATTTTAACACAAGATACAAAATATTGCTGTAAAGCAAAACTGGTAGACAATGTCACCAACTGCAGCCAGGATTGAACACCACAGCTCTAAAAGTGTCCTCTGCTGGCCAGTGTATCCAAGTGCAGTGCTAGTGACCCACCTGGTTCTTTAAGAGCCCAAAAAGCTGGCAGCTGCTTTCTAGAGAGGCACGGATATAACACTTAGAAAGGGGCAGAACTGATCAAAATTAGGGCCAAGCAAAAAACATGATGATAAGCTCTTAACAGACAAATATAATTTCTTCTAGTTACCAGGACTTTTCTCTCAGAAGGTAAAAGCACAAAGTTTTGATACAGGCCTCTGTTCTTAAGGAAGTTTTGCAGTCTACACTGCATTAGAAGAAGTTAGTCACAGAACGCGCCGCTATCATAATCCAACTATTTCCAAGTCAATATAAAAACTGTAGTATGTTCAACTGCTTATTCAGATTTGGTTTGGAAAATGGTAAGTAAATATTTAAGCTGAACTACTATTGTAATAATTTAAGTAATAGAGGAATGCTACAATGATGGCATATAGTCATTTCCATTGACTTCACTGGAACTATTTCTATATGTAAATTTTTTAAGTATATGCAATCATTTACAGTGCCAGGTCCAAAATTTACAGACACCTGAGGACAGAATGGGATGGGGAAAGAAGATGGAGTTACAGCTATTCCACTATCTCTACTATTTATCTGAAATGAAAGAATTCAGTAATACCGAACACAAATCTTAGCTAGATTCTACTACATAATCAGAGCATATTTGTGCTCTGCGCTAGGATTTCAACTTTAAGAAAGTCCAGATTGAATCCAATAAAGCTCAAGACCAAATATGAAAATCTACTTTGATCATAAAAGCATAAGGAAGAAAACACCTTGTATACAGAGTTTTAATTACAACAGAATTTAAACAATCAAATTATGTTTCAATGTTATAACTTTGTTCAAGTTACAATGCAGGGAAGAACCCAGTAATAAAAAGTGTAACATAAGCCAAGGTAAAAACAAAGCTACAGTTGCACTTACCGCTCAGGTGACTCTTCGAAAATGCTGTGACACTCAGTATTCTCAAGCATGAGACTTCGGCTGAGATTCTGTACTCCTGGGTAATGGAAATTAGCAAAGGAGTGCGACATTGGCGAAGTTTTGGTCCCAAGGTCTGTGACTCGCTTATCGTGATTTGTTAATCCGCATGACAGCCCATCTAAGGCAGGGTTTAAGGAGCGGGTCATGTAAGCATCTGCTGACTGAGGCCGTCTCATTGGGGATGATGGATAAGGAGAAAGTTTGCTGATAAGAGGTGTCAAAAGATCAGCATATGCAGCTTTTGTAGGCTTGAGGAGTTTGTCAACATGAATGTTAAGCATCTTTTGTTCAAAAGCACAAGAAAATACAGTAGCTGGCAGATTTTGCAGCCATGATAATAAGCTAAGGTCCAAGTCATCACACCCATTACCACACAAGAGATCAATGCCCAGCAATACTTCACTTTCTGTGATTTCTTCTCCTGTTGCTTTACTCTGACAGAATTCCACACAACATTCATAGAGCAATCCCTTCATTACAAGCTGAAATAAACGATTGTTACTTGCTTTGAAGCCAGCCTCACTCAGTTTCCTATCGGCAGGAATAAACTCTGCCACCATGACGCAGGCTTCTTCAAAGCAGTGAACCCGTGCAGTGCTGGGATTCCAGTCCTTGAATTCTGCGTGGTTGGTTAAGCGAGGCAGTGTCAGTAGCAAGCAGAGTTTACTATAGTCTTCCTTAGAGGGACAATATTCTTCCAACGCATGCAGGCACTGTACAGCCTCTCGCATTGTAAATTCCAGCTACAGAAATATTAACATGGAGTAGTTTGTAGTACATACATTTATACAATGAAACAGTTGAACAGGCAATAGCAGAATTTTTCTGCTATCATTCCTTTATTGCTATTATTGTTTGTATTTTTAATTAAAACAGCATACAATATAGAGTCTGAAATTGCTGATGCAAATATAGTTACAACAGACCCAAATTCCTGGACGCTTTGGCTTCCTAAAATCCCCCGCCCAGTCCCATTTTCTAGAGATCTATGGAACTTTTTCATGCCACTGCAGGTTTGATAGGCTTAAAATTTTAACTCTGTAGCTAAACAGCTTCAATTCTATTGCAGCACAGGTTACTTCCATTCTCAAAGCCAACCGATTTTTCACCTTTTTTTTATGCCTATGAAAAGCAACTGGCATAAGTTAAGAGACTTATAGATTTCTCTAGTTTCCAGTGATTAGCAACTTTGAGTTGTCTTTTATATTGAGATTTTGAGAACACTTCCCTCAAAAATGTTAAAAAAGTTCAAAAGTATCCTCAGAAGATAAGACGTCCTAATGAATAGAGGGCTTTAGTACAAAGCTTGTTGGTAGCTAAAAGCCAAATATACGTAACCTGGCATTTTGAGTTAAAAAGATTTTCAGAATAACCCCTCCATGTACCATGTTACCTAGCATCTGCTCAATAGAGCGGACTTTCATCCACAACATGACAACACAATTGGTAAGATTCAAAACAAAAAATGAAGGACATAAATCTGATTTTTTTTCCCCCTCTACTGCTATCTAGTAACAGTACACAGATTGATTAGAGGAATAGTACACCTTCCCTTTACAACTAAAAAGGCTTACTTCTAGCTTTCTCTACACTGTCAAGAGAAGACCTTGCAGTACAATGTATATGTAATTGTACAGAGAATTAAAGTCAATTCAATTTGGAAAACAAAATCAATTGTCTTAAAACTATTGGCATTCTTCATTTTTAATTTCGTAACATTTATGTGTTATGAAAAATTATGTGTGAAATTTGGTGTTCCTGCATTATCAACATAAATGAAAAACTATATAATTAATTTCACAATGTGCACACTTTCTTTGCCTGTTAATGTCTCTTTCCATATTGAAAATCTAAGTTCACAACCCCTGCTGTTTGCACATTTAACTGAATCAGTACTTTGTGAACACCTCTGTTCCCTCCAAAGAAACAACTGTGTCCTTTCTCTCTAAAAGCAACAGAAACAAAGTTTAAGATTAATTCAAATTGGAATCTTTCACCTGGTCCTGATTATGACAATAAATTTCTGTGATTCTGAGGCTTGCTTCAGAACACTTTTGAAAAAAGAGCCCTGTACTTTAGCATAATGGCCTAAAGTAAACCGCAGGATCAGGACCACAAACACAGTACACAGTCACTGATCTATGCTGCTAAGTTTCAAGCAACCCTTGTATATACAATTCTATTTGAGACCTGGGAGTCACATTCATTTCCAAAGGATACCAATTATTTTTTCCATTGTTTATGAAACTATTTGGCAATGGCTAAAATTTGTGCATTCAGTGCTGTGAGGTTCTGCTCTGCCTTTAATAAGAATATCTCAAGAGGCTTCTTGACAACACAAAATTTCCTAAATCAAAGACAATTCTTACATGTTGAGGCTCATCTGCTGCTGACATCGCATTGTTTACACATAAGGCTTCCAAGAACTTCTGCTTCATTATAATGTAACGAAATCTGCAGGTGAGAAGTGAAATACCATAGAGCTCGATCCAATAGCTAAACATTCTTTGAGAGTCAAGCTGGATATTTTACAGCTAAGTTTTGAGTTAGGCATAGCAACTGCCATGACAAGGAACTCTGATCTCAAATTTTAACAAATCGGTAACCACAAAATTATTTTAACAGGAAATGTATTTTTCAATTACTGCTTTCAGAAATATTACATAAATATTAGAAGGCTAATAAGAAAAAGGTATAGCAATCATACTTATTTCTTGAATAGAAATATGACAGAGCAGCCAACTATAAAAAGATAGTACAACATGTACCACATTCCAAAAGTGTATGGCAAATGAAAACTCATTTCAGATTGTGTGCACATATTTTTCATAGTTTAAGTTAGAAAAAAACACATGCACACACTTTAGGAACTGTACACAGGTTAGGAAAACACAAAAACTAAGGTGAAAAAACCCCTCAGAACTACTGCTTTCATACACAATACTTAGAAATGTATGTATTTTCCACAACTCAGAAAACTGAACTCTGACATACATTCTATTTTACCTTTTCTTGTCGAATTTTTCCATACATTCAAGAGGCTGAATAAATTGAAGAACCTCATCCCACTGACCATCAAGAATCAATTGCCTAGCAAAAGAAAGAGTCAGTCCTTTAATTTCACAGGACAAGAACATCCTCCATCTTTTTCAGTAAGCAGCTCATTTGAATACAAAACCAGTTATCAACTTGCTTTGAAAAGTTAATGCTCTGCACAGATGCCAAGATGACTGACTGATGCAACTAGTAGTAAGAGCAAAATCAAAGTCCTTTCTCAGTATTTTGTAAAAATAACTGCATATTGGAAGGACAAATATGAATTACTTTTAAAGGCAAATCAAAACCCAAAATGATCCTGTGTCTCCTGCTTTACCTGCAATTCTTACTTAAAAAAAATCTTACTTGAAGAGTACAAATAAATATATTGATTCAATGAATACATCCTGAAGAATGAAAGCAAACTTAAAAACAGGTTAATTTTAATTGTATGAATACTGCCTGGCCTATTTTATAAGGGGGTGGGAAAACACACAGCTCCCATATTAACAATGTAAGAAGAACAGATTGGCAGGAATTGTGCCAGCACAAGAGCTCCAGCTCCAAGAACAGTGGGCTAGGCTGCACAGGTGGATTAGTTCAGTTTCTTCATGCCCTCACATCACACAGAGTTCTCTATAAAAGGCCCAGATCTACAAGGAAGGGGCGAGTTTCTCATTAGATGTACACTCCAACTAAGCCAAGAATGAAACAAACAAATAGGATTAATAACTTTAATCATCTTCCTCTAATTCTTCTTTCATTTCATTCCAATATACATAATTTTAATCAAAAGGGAGGCCAGGTGAGAAATCTTGTTCAGTGATAAAATATATCTTTTAATGTTTTAAGAACAGCTGGATACATGATTTTCTCACGCTTCTACAAAGTTATTAAGTACCTTCGGCATGAAATAGAAAATAGCAATGCAAAAAACTAGTGTGCATCTACAATGACTCCTTTTAATAATTTTGAGGGCAATATTATGAATGGTAAATCACACCAACTCCATGCTTTGATGATAGCAGAGACACCTTTCATATTGTTAAACTTAAGAGAAGTCTAGGTATTATTTTGAAATGCAGATAATATTTTGGGGAAAAAGCTTTGGAAAACACTCCACTCCTCCTAGACCTTAGCACTAGAATATTGTAAAAATATTTTATTTATTTTTAGAAGTTAATAGACCACACATTCAGTTCCATGTGACATGGTAAGCAGATAACAGATCACTGCTGCCAGCAGATCTTGTTCTCCCATCCTATTGCTGCTCATGTGCTTTCCCCAACTTACCCTGCACTGACACTGGCACTTGTTAAGAATTCTTCCCACTTTAATTCATAAGAATGCCAGAAAAATAACCAAGGTAAAATGAATGAACAAGCAAACAAACAAAAAAATAGAATCTATTTCAACCTACTTCAAGTGGCTCATAGAATGAGGTCATTAACTTCAGAGCTGGACCACAGAATTGGGATCAGGAACAAGCAGAATATGATGAGGGCGTAAGGCCTCCTGTTTAGTGGCATGGGGCTGCCCACAGAATCACCCGCCAATTGTATGTTTTCATATATGTGCTATGTAAGCACCAGAGAAAGAAGTCCTACCTTAGAAAAAGCATGTCATCTGAAAACAGGCCATTAATGACCCCACTTTCTTTCTCAAGTGCCAGCATACTGATATGAAGTTTCCTTGAGTTCAGAAAGTCTAGTATTAGTTTGATTATTTCAGCTTCTTTAACATTCACTGTTTCTTCAGCCGTCATGATGGCAGCCTAAAAGGGAAAAAGAGAGCATTTTAACTATGATCAGTATCTTTATGCTTGGTTAACACATGTTGGCTACTAAAAAAATACTACAGCATTACAGAAGTTAGACAGACAATTGATTTTAAGAGGTTAGATTAGGAAATTGATTTTAAGAGGTTGATTATGAAGCCACAATTAAGACCTAACAATGTATGGATATCTTCTTTATTTCTGTCCTATGCGCATATAGGGGCCCAGATAAACAAATCTACTAAGAAATCAATCCTCCTGCAGTGTGAAAATATTGTGGTTACCAAGTCTGCAATATGTAAAATTTTCCTTTCTGAAATGCAAACGGTGAAGTTCAAAGAGCATAAAAATGAGCCAGTTACCATGTCATTATCTAGAGATCTTACGTATAAACTTAAATGTTTAAGACACACAAAAAGCACAGCACACTAAAAATGCAGCCTCCTACCCCATTTTTGAAGTAGTGTATGGCAATTAAGCCAAGACTTTTAATTCTTCCTTCATAAGGACACCTATTTCTGTCTATATGCTTTATGAAGAATCTAAAGCTGCAAACCCAAGGTGGCCTAAGCAGTTTGATCACTGACCACCAGTCCCATTCACTCACCCACCTCCAGCTGTGTGTCCCTGACCCTTCCTTAGCACCCCTCACTTCTGTCATTGTGTTGGCTTTTCCAACAACCCACATGCTGAAGGGGCTCAATGGTCTAATGAGCTCTCCAGCTAGCAGAAAGGAAAAGGGCGAAAACGCAGCTGGGACAGTGACAGGCCAAGGCCCTGGCTGCCAGCAGTCAGCTTGTTTAAGGCTCCCAAGGATACAATGTCCAAGCTCCTTTGATATCCTTGGAGGAATTGTGTTCCAAAGTTGTAGCATATACTTGTCTTAGGAAACTAAAATAAATCTAAAATAAATTCTGGTTCTGGCTAAGTCTTGCATGGTTCCTTAAGTCTGACTTAAAGTAGAAGCTGTTCAACTTTTTTTTTTTTTTAACCTTAAAAAGACTTTACAGCTGTAGCTCCCAAGTTGATCTGCTGAAAACTATTGGGGGATGTGGGGAGAAACCCTGTAACACAGCCAAGACACATAGCATTGCCTCATCAGGAGCTCTTCAAAAAAAGCTAGCGGCTACAAGGGTGCAGTTTCCCATTAAGCAGAATTCAATTTAAGTCCATGTTACAGCAGAAAGGGGTGCAGGTTCTTGCCTCTGCACTCAGCCACATGTCCCCCGCCACTTCATGGCACCCGCGAAGGAGCTGCATGGTTAGCCAGACACTCCTCTGATCCGTGCGAAGTTAAACGTATTCACCCTGTGGTCACGCGGGCACTAATGCTGACACAAGGAACCGACAGAGCTTTGCTTTCTGGCAGTGGCAAAGTCTTAACCTGACTTGAATTGATTATTTAAGTTATTATTTATGAGAGTGCACCAAAGAACAGAGAAGCCACCAGTTACCAGTGATGAACCGTCAGCTGTGGGCAATATCCCCAGGAACCAGGAGACACAGTAGAGTAACAGTGATCAGAAAAATGAGTAGAGGGAGATGGCCATACAGAGCAACATGTCCACAGCTGTAAGTTAATAATTATCCTAGCTGTTCCCCCTTTTAATTCAAAAGAGGAAATAAAAGTACTTAATTCCCTCATGCAACCATTTACTTGTCTGGAAATCTAGCAACTACGATGCTGAAAGACAACCAGCTGCAGGTAACGCAGCTCCCAAGACAAGCTGAAGAGATGATGCAGCCTCCAGGTACCTTGGCCTTGGAAAATGAGTCCATGAGCTAGTTATCTATCTTATACTAGGAAAGATGCACAGAAACTAGTAGTAAGAAATCAAAGAACAGATACAGTAAATTTGAATAATCCAAATAAGACACTCAAAAAGTATTAACAAGAAATTATTTACTGGAGAAAAGGAGGAAAGACACACACTCCAGTGAAACTTCTGTTTATCATAAACCAATGCTAATCAACTTGAAGGCATAAAAAAATTAGGCGTTAATAAGAGGGGTCTTTGTACTGCTTCATAAAAATCCCTAAGTTTTCGATCTTCCTCACAGTTTTATGCTAACTTTTTCTCCCCCCAAGTACGTTTTTACCAGAACGTTTGACTAGGAAAACTATGTTGCTATAATCGAATGCTTATTTTGGAACAGCAGAGACCTAATTGTGCCAGATGAAATGGCCTAACTTCTTTTCAAAAATGGCTGGGTTTAATTCTCATTTTAGACACAGAAGACTCCAATCACCAAGTATTTTGACGGGTCTCATGAAAGACACACCCAGAGACCACATGCCCACTCTCAGCTAGTAAAATCAAAGGAAAAAATAAAATCTGCCTTGCAGAAAGCTTTGCTGCGGGAAAGAAAGCAGATAGATACACAAATCCAAAGCCAGAACTTGTAGAAAGATGCTTTTTCCTTATGTTTTAGCATTGTTTCAACTTCCCCTTTTGGCAAATGGATATGGATTTTTGGTCCCAGAGAAAAATTCAGCCCTACTTTTATATGCTGACGGAAGAACAAAAAAAATCAACACAAATTTAACCATCCGTTTAGCATTAACATCTTAATTCCCCACCTCACCTAATACATTTCCATTTCTCTTTTATTATGCTTTATGGCACTGGTGGTTTTTACATAAATTAACTTCCTTGCCAAAAGAGAAAAGTAAAACTTAGGTAAAGCTATATTGAGACTCCCCATCAGAAAACTACCGGAAAAATGCAAACTAATGCTCCCTTTGAAGAAAGGATCACCAAGTCCAGCTTCTTTTCAATCAGATCTACTGGACTCAAGTTTAAAGAAGAAACCACTCTATACAGCTTCAAGACTGTCTTAAAATTAATTATTTATATATTCTATAGATGGGATAATGAGCATAATACTCAGTACTTTGCTTAAGAGTACAACCACATTAAGTAAAATCTAGCATCTGCAAGAAGTTGTCTTCCATTTTCCACTGCAGTTTTAAAAGAACAGGTTTGTCCTGAACATAAAGCCTTTTCCAATTCTAACACTTAACTTCATTTATATTGCCTATATAAATTAGGATAAAGGCTGAGTGGCATCCCCCATATTTGATATGGGACTAGTAACAACACTTTTGGGGTCCTGCTAAGAAAAATATGAGCTAATATCCAAAAATAGTTTGGATACTGAACTTCTGAAAAAGATTCAAAGCACGCCAATAAGCTCATATATGAACAATATTATGAAAATATTTAGTGTGCATTTGCTGTCAGAGCAACCACCCCATTGGACAAATAGCTAGAAAAGAACAGTAAACCTACTAGACAAGATTTTCAGTTAATTGATGTTTTTTTGGGCTGATAAGCTCAGACTTCTCTTATAAGCATTATGCTGTCAAAATAATAAGCAGCACTGTAACACTATAATGAAGTTATAAACATACATAGGCTTATATATCACCTCTATGAAATATATCAGGTTTTCTGATGTTCAGTGACATGTGTGTATGTGTATAAATAAAAATAATAATGAAAAAGCAAAGAACAGCAGGGAAACTCAAGATTAGAGCTCGAGCTGCATCTTTGGTCCATCCCACTATATTGCTTTCTGCCAGCACATATGGCACATAACGTCACAATCTGATCAGCTCAAGCACTAATACTCAAGAATGATTGAAGCACAGCATTAGCTTGAGGTATAAATGAAAGTAAATGAGTATTAGAGCTTAACATTTCAGGTGCCTTCTACCAACCAGGTTTTTGCTACAACTCTTATCTTACCCAGTCTTTTCAGAACAGCACTTTGTCACACCTGTTCTCCTTCCTTCTTTCTCCCGTCCGCTCCCCCATACCATCTTCCCCTAGTTCTGTATTTAAATTTGTTTTCCTCCTAATCAATCTACATCAAGAAAAAAACCCTAACAACTTCTTGTCACAAATGTGGCACATCTTTTCTCTGTAGCTTCAATGTGCAGGAATCTCACTTGTCCTTTACACAAGCTCTTTGGAACACAGACTACCCACTCTTAACTGTTCCAGAGTTAACACTCCTGTTACTCAGTCCTGTTCTCGCTCATGTTCTAAGAACATGCCAACAGCGAGAATCCTCTCATGGTGCTATAAGCATAGAAAACAATTATTTTTTAAAAATATACATATACACAGTTATGCATATAAATATACTATTTTAGGAAAATGTTTATGAACTAGAATTAATTTTAAATAGTCTGTCTCTAAGTTACCTCCCTTAGAAGAAATTTAAAATGCATAAGCATTCACATGATAGAAAATTAAAGTAAGTTTAATATTCTGGAAAACAAGTAAACAGATTCTAAAATAAGTGTTATTGCCATGTTATTTATCATCTGAAATAGATCACTTGCCAACAGCATACAATATACATTCACAAAACTGGGCAAGGAATATAAAACCTCTAACTACTCAGAAATACAAGAAAAATATTGTACTTCAAATCTCAAGTGCCATATTGAGAGAGTGGTGATACGTTTAAAGGGAGAAGCGATGCCTAATTAGAAGTCTTGGTTCGCTGAATTCAATGACAGCTGCAATGCACATCCATAACCTCAGCATCTTGGTGAGCTAGGCCACAGAAAAACCAAATATGAAGTAGTAATACATATTTTAAAGGCTGGCTGTTTTGCTTAAAATTATTTCACCTTTTAACCCATCCCGCAGTCACTTACATATGACTCTCGGGCCTGCCCAGAGGCCACTCCGGAGTTCCGCCTATACAGACCCCACGGGGGACTTGGGGCCCGGTCAGTAACTAGTGGCTCCGTTTCTGATGTGCCCTCAATCATCTTCCAGTTATTCTATATCAAAAGAATTTACAAAAAAAAGTATACAGGCCAAATTTTTTATTACAACTGATTCCCACAACAGTTAGTGCAACTCACTGACACCCATTTTACCCTAAGAAATTGCACAATTCATTATTTCAAATTAACTGCATTGAACATATTAAGGCCTTATTAGAAAACCTTCACCAAACTTTGT